ACAGACGATACGACTGGTCCAACAACTCAAAGTCGCTCAACGAGCTATGGAAAGAGCTATGCTTGGAGTTTCTTTGAGGGATCAAATCCGAAACGAAGTAATTCGCCAGAGAACTAAGGTCACCGACATAGCTCTTAGTATTTGTAAGTTGAAGTGGCAGTGGGCTGGGCATATCTGTCACAGAACCGATGCTTGACCGCGAATTAGCAAACGTAGTGTAGGACGCCCCTCATCTAGGTGGAGCGACGACATACGTAGGGTTGCGGGTAGTAACTGGATGAGAAGGTCTGAAGATCGTGCCCAGTGGTGTGCCTTGGGAGAGAAAATTATAAAATTGGCAATGATTGATGTGAATGATTCATGTGATCTATTATTTCGATATCCTACCATGATTTAAGTTTTGTTGAATTAAATGAATAAATGAGTTTTATAGTTACGTAACTAATTTTGAAACCCCTTTAGTACACTGCTTTCTAATCCTGACTCAAACAAAACATCCATGAGTATGATTGGTTGTATCAGTCTGGGTGTTTTCTGTATGTATTAACAAAAAAAACTTTGTATTTGTATCAGTTGTCTAGTACTCATAACACAAGCTGTACTTAACTTGGGACTAGATGGTTCTGAACTGTCCTGAGATATTATAATATTTTATTATCATATCAACAGGTATTGCGGCCAGAGAATACTGCGAAGAAGTGCGAGCAATAAGTTTGTATACATGTGTATACGTATGTACTACATGTAATGGCAATTATATAAAGTCCATCAATTCTAAATTCCATGTGTAGTTTTGTATATTCAAATTCAAAATATCTTTATTCATGTAGGTCTATTACAGACTCTTATGATATGTCAAATCTGCCGTCAGTTCGGAATGACTTCGTGATGAGAACTGACAAGAAACTCAGCTCGTATCCTTTTCAAATAAATGTACATGTTTACAATAATACAGATTCATTTTTAAATTCAAATTTGGGAGAATAGGGTGACTATCAGCAAGAGCAATAGTTTAATCTGTGTTCGTAATCCGAACAGACCAGTACCCGGTAATGAGTATGACGAATGAGCCATCATATACAAGTATAGTCCTTAAAATTCATTTAAAACCTTGCACGTTATGTTATCTCTATACCTGAAACCATGCACTGAGTAAACAAGGGGAAAGTTTATCAAAGGGATGTTTTGAGATAGATACCCCTTGTTTTCTTAGTTTATCAGATATAATATATTACCCTTTAACAGGTAAGACATGGTGTGTTTTTCTATAAAGGGTTATAAGTATATTTTGTTCCATATAATCCACTAACAGTGTTAAAAAAGTTTCTTTATCATTCATTTCTATTTTAAGCCAGCTAAACAGGACGGCAAGGTTATAAAAAATGTCAAATTTTTTTTTTTAACACAAGTCGCTAAAAGTTTTCCGTAAGCCTAAATGCTTAACATTGACTTAATTAATAAATCTTAAGTTGAAACAACACCGATTGCAAAATGCAAAACAAATACTAAAATATATATTATGTTTTCAATAACATATTGTGTAATAGTGTGTATAGTAAGTAATCTTAAGCAATCCCATGATTAATAATAAAAAAAAAGACTGACAGTAGTTTTGACATATCATAAGAGTCTGTAATAGACCTACATGATTAAAGATATTTTGAATTTGAATTTGAATTAATATACTAATATGCAAAAAATAATCATATTACTAGTAAACTTTCCTATAAAACATTTGTAATGGAGATATTTTCATTAAAATAAAGTTTATTTAGAAGCGTTTTGTATGACATTTTTTTATTACCTCTCACTGCATTCACAGTGCGTTTTCATATTTATTTGCTTTTATACAATGCAGATATGTAACAATCATGACCACCGGAAATCTAGATCAAGATAGCAGTTACGAATTTATCATGATAAGATAATTTATAAAATACGTTCATATTTCATAAGTTAATTAGGTAAATAATTACTCGTGTTGCATGCATATTTCTTAAAACACTTAATTACTATTTCTTGTAACAATAATTAGACGCTAATATTGACATAATGAATTGCAAAACGTAGCATTATGTACGACATACTAAAGTGTTCGAGACTAGTTTGGTACATTTCCCTTTCTATTTTCAGTTTATCTGCAATACAGACTTTATTACAGTCGTCTTACCTTCCAAACCTTAGTCTCACCACAGATAACACAATATTACATAGCCTCACCTAGTTAATACTCATACTATTAACGTAATATTATATTATCTGTGCTATTAACATCTCTATACAGCCATGACGCGCTCGTCGTACTACTGCGGCTGCGTGCATTATTCTGCATCTGTGGCGCATTGCGTTTGCGCGGGAAAATTAAAAAACTACAAAATGGCTTCAGCAGACATCTTGATAAACTGTTGTACTCCTGATACCTAATTATTTTATAACGTTCTGCATGACTTTATATGTCTGCAATTTATTTTTATTTATACATAATAATTTTATATACAACAAACTGTAAATACAGCCCCTAGTATCACACCTAATCTGTAATAAGACTGATGATCTTCTTGCTAGCAATTTACCATGTCAGATTGACCTCTACGCGGTTCCTCCTGGAAACCATCGTGATAAATTCCTGGTGAATTTATCACGATGGGCTAACTGACCTGACCTCTTGCTCATTTTTCCATCCTCCACTGGTGCCCGCCAGCGTAAACCGTTAGCACAGGCGGGTGCACCATTCCATTATCTATACATATAAATAAAATTGGAGTGTCTGTTTGTAATGTTGAAATAACCATTTTTTACTACATGCATATGGATATAAATACGGTACATACACCAAAATATTTTTTCAATTATTGTCTGTCTGTTTGTTCCGGCTAATCTCTGAAATGGCTGGACCGATTTTAGCGGGACTGTTTTTGGCAAGTAGCGGATGTAATAAGGAGTAACTTAGGCTACTTTTATTTTAGAAAAATAAAGTTAAATTCCACGCGGGAACAACTAGTCATCCATAAAAAAAACAACTGTGTTGTGAACAGTTTAGTTCAAAGTCTGCCCTGTACCTAATTATACTATCAGGTCCCTTATTTCGTAGGACAAAGGCCAACTGATATGTAATCATAATGAATGAAGGACAGCCCGCATAATTACCTCACGACTGTCAATTCATGATGAAATACCTGAGCCTTGATTAGAAAATATTGGACATTGTTTTTGTGAATAAATTTTATGTGGCCTCATACAATAGGTTAAGAAGTAACATATACTATATGCAATATGATATTGAATTAGCTGTGCCCGCGGTTTTACCTACATTAAATGTCAATATAAAATATAGCCTGTGTTATTCTGATGCATAAGCTATATTACTGTAAAGTTTCACCAAAATCCGTTTTGTAGTTGTTGCGTGAAAGAGTAACAAACATACATACTTACAAACTTTCGCCTTTATAATAATACTAGCTACTCGCCCCGGCTTCGCTCGGGTGTACATGTATTATACATATATAAACGTTACTCTTGAATTATCTATTAAAAAAAACCGCTTCAAAATCCATTGCGTAGTTTTAAAGATTTAAGCATACATAGGGACGGACAGACAACGACAGCGACTTTGTTTTATTAATAGATAGAGTGATTCTAGAGAAAGGTTTATATGTATAATGTACACACGGGCGAAGCCGGGGGGAGTAGCTATTTAATATTATAAACGTGAAAGTTTGTAAGTATGGATGTTTGTTACTATTTTACGCAAAAACTACTGAACGTATTTCTATGAAACTTTACAGTAACACAGATTATGCATCAGACTAACATATAGGCTATATTTTCTATTGAAATGTAACGTGGAGCCGCGGGCACAGTTAGTTGACAATAAACTTGTACCATAGCGATGTTTAAACCGTTCAGAGATATTCTTATCATAAATTGGTAGAGAATATGTAAGAGAAATAAAATAATATCAATAATTAAAATCTGATTGTATTTAATTTATTGCGAAAATCTTAAATAAATTAACGTCTCATTTACTAGGCGTGGCATACAATTCGCATAAAGTTCCGTATTCTATATGTATATAAATAGTTTTTCATATTATATACTTAAAAGTTTATTAACAATGTTTTAAGGCAATTTTATATCACAATATTTATTTGAAAGTATGTAATACAGGTGTATATATTATATAATATGTAAGTAAATAGGAATGTACCACAGTCCCTGCCCCAGCACGTTACAAATCCCCCGCGAAATAAATTAGTATTAAAATTAAGGAACCTCCCTGGCACTTTTTCATACAAACAAACTTAAACACGTAGGTAAAAAATATTGCAACAATTAACACTATCAATCTCATATTTAATGTAAGAAATTATCTATATTTATTATTAATTTGACTAATATATTCATTCCATAAATAGTTCTAACAAACACATTTGAATGTAAGGGGCGTCTATGAATTACGGGAGATGTTTCGACCTCCCTGGTCGAGTCAAATCTCATTTAATAATACATTGGAGAGAGAGGTCTCGGCAATTATCACGCAATTTTTTTTTATACTACGGTGGTGGCAATCTAGCATACGGCACATCGGATGGTAAATGGTTACCGTAGCCTATGAATGCCTGAAACACCAGGGGTATAACGTACGCGTGGCCGACCCTTACCCCTTCTTGAAAAACCCCATGCTGTAGTCTCGTGGGAAAACCTCGGCAGGAAGTTCATTCCACAATCTAAGTGTAATTCGTTTTCTGATTGAAACAAAAAAAATATATACTATTTTGGTCCATTTAATACAGATTGTACATGCTTATTACACTTATCTCAGCAATATTGATTACTAGTCGTAAATAAAAGCACGCAGCAATTTTTTTTTCTTTTTACAATAACAATCCAACGCGTTTATGTAAGAAACCCACATTTTGAAAAATATCACGTGAGATTGGGGGTTGGGGAAAGGGGTTGAATAAAATCTCACGACACCTCACCAGGGAGGGAGGGAGGCACAGAATATTAAAAAAAAAACAGCTCACGTAATTTATAGACCCCTAACGTGTACTCTATAATATAAATTTCAATAAATTTGTCATTATTTTGCTAACATCTAAATGTAGGTACAAATATAGTAAAAGGCACAATTCGTTTGACGTCTGTAGTGACATACATTTCTACTTGCATAATTTAAAACAGTGATTCCCAAAATGGTCTATTGACCCCCAGGGGTCTATGACAAACCGCAAGGGGTCTACGACAGCGATCATCTTGTTGTTTTAACTTTATGTTGTTAACAAGAAACTTTACTACAGTTAGAAATTTACAAAAAATCAATACCAGGTCTACCCAAAACCGAAAACAATAGCAAGGGGTCCACGACACAAAAAATTTTGGGAACCTCTGGTTTAAAACGTTGCCTTCATGTAATACACGATAATTAAGTACATCAATTTCACTTTAAGATCCGAAGCCATCGAGGCCCGCAGCCGACTACGCCTGCCCTCTCGCAGCATCCCACAAACTTCATCTCATCACAGTAATCAGCTACTTACATAAATATTACGTGAAAATAAGATTTAAAACAGAAATTAATTTAAAGATATGCATATTTATAAGCACTACTCACGAGGCGTAAGAAACGCAATGAAGGAAAGTTTAATGTAATATATTAAATGATCTCTATTTTAACGTCTCGTATTTACGTTTAGTAGATGCGTAAGAAGTATATTTCGTAAGATTTTTTGTGATAGGCATAGAGGAAAATAACATATCTGTAGAACATCAAAACAAACGTTCGTGACCTTACAACATACCCTCGCTAGCCAACTAGGGAAGGCAGAAGTTATACGTGACACGATTGTAATCAGATCACAATATTACAGCTCTGGTGTCGATTCCTTTATCTGTTTTTTGTACTCGTAACACTGAATATTGCGCATTTTCTCACAATACCGAGAAAAAGCTACATTTTTATAGTAACAACATAATAGATACATGCGATAGACTCGGGCCCGCTCAGTGCCGTATTGCATCGGGAAAGCGGCGCTCCCATCACAGCCCAACAGTTTTTCAGTAGCGAAGATTGAAGTCAAACAATAGGAAGAAACTATTTTACTCACAGTCGGGAGATGAGTTCGCATCATATATCGACCGCTTTCCAACAGCGTGCATGCACAAGATAATTGCTGTTACGGATAACCATCATTTGCATTGTTCACAAACTGGAGAAAATTAATTGCTCAACAACCGATCAGCCGGCGAAAGAAATCGATCGACAAAACCTGACGCGCCAAGGCATTCGATTAATTTGCAACGTTTACGCAATAATAGGTACCTACTATGCAGATGTCTTCGGGCGTGAAGTCTGTAAAATGAGACGATGGTGCACTCGACTTGCGATCTAATTCACTACAATATTTACCTACCAGAGATATCGTTTTTCTCACATAACGCACCGAATACGTCGACACTTATTCGGCCTTGCACTCAATACACTTCGTAACTGATGCATAATGTTGATACACGTTTGTAGTAGTCCACAGAACATGTTTGGCGTTAAACGCCTAAATAACACATTTTAACCCACAAGCCTTCTATTTAAAAACAAATACAATTTAAGCCGCACCCGCTTCCTGCTTTTGTTGAATTATAGACTCCCACTGAGCGATAAGGCGCGTGGAACTCGGTGCGAGGAATTCTTGGCCCGGTTCGAGGGCGCAGAGTTCCGCCAGGGATTTCGCTGGCTTCAGACTGCCTAAAGACTCCTGGCCGGAGCTGTTCCTCGACGGCGACGGTGACCGAATCTCCTCATTGAGTGCTTCATACAACTCTCCTATGGACTTTGTTGCTTTAAGTTTTCCGGGCAACGGAATATCTTCGTCTTCTGACTCCGAACTGGTTTCGTTATCACTCAACTCGAGATCGAAAGGTTTATGTTTCTTTCTCATGCGTTTCAATTCATGTTCCCTATCCTTCATTTCCTTCAGTTCTTTCTGAATTTTCTCCTCGACGGGCACGTAACCTTTCCTAATAGGTTTCTCTGGAGTTCGCGTTATAGCAACTGGAGGTATTATAACCGGAGATGTAACCGGTGTTATAGAAACTGGGTTGATGAAAATTGGTGACGTTGGTGGTGCTTTCGCAGTTGGCGTTGGAGGCAGTATGGGAGAGCTCGGCATTTTGCCTTTACTGGTAATGAACCGCTGCATGATGCCTTTCGTGCCGTTCTGTGGCGTGAACCGCCGGGTGTAGCCATTAGTGTTAAGTACTGTAGTTACTGGTGGTGTCGGAGGGCCTATCGGACCCAACAGATGTGAGGTAGATACAGCTCTATTAAGAGTCCTGGGCGATTTAAGTTCTACATCGCCATTGACATGGCCGTTTTGGTGGTTAACATCAATGGTAGATTCTGACAGCAGCCTGTTTATTCTGAAGTGGCCTTCTTTAAATTCTTTCTCCCTCTCGGTAACTTCTATAATTTCCCTCTGAATCCTGGAGAGGGGATCTTCTTTCAGCATTGACTGAAACAGACAAAATAATTGGTTAATACATTTAGGTACGACATAAGTTTAAATAATAATACCTAAAATCTTATATATAAAATTCTCGTGTCACAATGTTAGTTACCATACTTCTCCTAAACGGCTTGACCGATTTTTATGAAATTTTATATGCATATTCAGTAGGTCTGAGAATCGGCTACTATCTATTTTTCATACCCCCTAAGTAATAAGTGTTGTTCACCCCTAACATTTTTCTTTCTTTTTTTGGTCAATTTTTATTTTTTAATAATATAAATTTTAATTTATATATATTTAATTTATATAGCGTGTTCAGCTAGTATACTCTAAATATGAATGCAGACTCATCACAAGCAGAAACTTGCATGGTGCCCTTTTATATACATGTTCTAAGTAAATACACATTAATAAGGATGAGGCACGCAACAATCAACGACAAGTCCTGCTAACTTTGGTATTAGACGCGCTGTGTGAATTGTCCTGGGTAGGGGGAAAGGGTATTGTTAGTAATGTGGACTGACAATCTTATTGCTAGCAATGTACCATATCAGGTTGACCACGCGGTTCCCCCTGGAAACCATCATGATAAATTCTTGGTGAATTTGTCACATGGGCTAACTGACCTGACCTCATGCTCATATTATCATCCTCCACTGGTACCCCGCCAGCGTAAACCGTTAGCACAGGCGGGTGCACCATTCCAATATCATCCATAAAAAAAATTGTCCTGGGTAATTATTATCATATGCAAAGCAAACAGCTGATGACCTCGACAGACATGAATTTAGAGTAGTCTGTTAGTGAACACGAGTGGCAATATTTCAACAAGGAGGTCAGTGAGACCTCGCTCGCCGTATAAAGCCCAGTATCGTGAGTAAGGCGTTAGTTGCTGTTGACCTACGACATAGTGTAACAGTTGCTATATGTTAAAAAACGTTTTTAATCCTTACTTTTTAATATTGAATATGCCTTCGTTTTAAATTCACATCTCGACCAATTTAAAAAACTTCCTAGTTTCTAAATTTAACTTAATTTATTTTAGGCGTATGTTATGATAATATACTATAATACTATATCTTTTATTAATTATGTAATATTGAATAATGTATATCTTATCTGAACATATGAATAAAATTGGAGTGTCTGTTTGTAATATTGAAATAACCGTTTTCTACTACATGCATATGAATATAAATACGGTACATACACCAAAATAACATTTTTTACATTTTTTGTATGTCTGTCTGTCGGTCTGTTGGTCTGTGATCTGTTAATCTACTTATCTGTTAATCTCTGAAATGGGTGGACCGATTTTAACGGGACTTTTATTGGCAGGTAGCTGATGTAATACAAGTAACTTAGTCTACTTTTATTTTAGAAAAATAAAGTTAATAAAGTTTCAATAAAGTTAAATTCCACGCGGACGATGTCGCGAGTAGAGCTAGTCATAAATAAACAAATGCTTTTAAGCATAGGTTTTCTCAATATTTCGCATGCGCGATCCATCGTAGAATTCTGTTTGTTCGTTTTACGAAGTTACCGTTATACCAACAAGAACACATACCAAGACTTTACCTTAAAAAAGAACAGACAAACACGTTTGTGTGGAAACGAATCGCGCATCTATTTGTGCCAATCATCCTTTCCGTTTGAATAGCAGTGGAATTTTAGGGTATTGAGCAGGGATGTTATGGATATGAAATTTCGGATACGGATAGGTTTCGGATTTAGGAATGATTATTATACCGGATACGGATACGGATGCGTATATAAAATTATTTCGGATTATCCGTTAGTTTCGGATAATTTCGGTTACAGATATTATTTTATTAAGGAATTTCATAAGTAAAATACAAGTAGCTAATAAAATGGTTACATAACGTGTCTCAATTAGGTTCCGCCCAATCCGATATTATCCGAAACTTTTTTTCGGATTCGGTTACGGTTACTAATATTCTTTTATATCGGATATCCGATGGTTTCGGTTACGATTACGGAGCTCCCGAACATCCCTGGTATTGAGGCATAAAGACATTTCTAATATTAATACCAGATTTAAAGACAAACTTGCTGTTCTTGTATAGGAATGGGTATAAAAATTTACAATAAGATACCAAAGGATATATTGGAATTACCCTTAAATAAATTCAAAACATCTGATATTTATTGAGTAAAGCCATTTCTTTAAACGATCACTTGACTGACGAGCGTGCATGTCAATAGTTGTTCATGCACGGGATTTTCATTTCAGACACAGACACCTATATAAATATTGTAAATAGACTGGCGTTTTTAAAAAAAAGTAATTGAATTGAGTTTCTTGTTAGTTCTTCTCAATTCGATCTATATACTGAACAGGAGGGTAGGGAAAAATATATAATATAAAAAATTTGACGTTCATAAACTAAAATGTACATAAATGAATTATTTTTTAATTTGGCAACACTAAAATGTACGATGGTAAGCTACTAATGCAGTCCACTAGGACTTTGGCACTAATTTCTCTGCCCTATTTCACGATTTAAACCGACACATACCGGGATCCAGAGGATTGCTAGGAATGTGAACTAATAACCCCATTGCTAGCAATGGTACTGTCAGGTTGACCTACACGCGGTTCCTCCTGGAAACCATCATGACAAATCTATCGCGCTTTCACGCCAAATCTACTAAACCGATTCAAATAATATTTGGGATATAATAGTAGGGACTGGTCTGCGAAATCACTATGACTGATTTTTTAATGCATATTTATAAATGTGCTTGTTGGTAGTTTGATTCAAGGACTTGTAAATGTAAACTTAAAGGATTATTTAAAAGAGCAACACACAAGTCTTGCATTCTTCTTGTGATGAGACAGCTTTCCGAACGACGTATTTAAAAACAAATTGTTATTATTATCTTAAATTAAAGTTTATTTTAATAAATGATAATATTTGGTACACAGATAGTTCAGGCCTCGAAAAAGGGTATTGGCTACTTTTTAATGCGAAAAATGCTTGTAAGGGGTTGAAAGGGGATATTAGAGGTAGTATGGTAGTAACAATGTCTACATCTAGTACGACGTATTTAAAAAGTTTATTTTATCTATGTAAAGCTATGTTCTCTGTAGGACATTCAGTTTTGTAGACATAATAAATGAAAAAAAATATGTACAACTAGCGACTCGCCCCGGCATCGCCCGAGTGTACATGTTATACATATAAACCTTCCTCTTGAATAACTATCCAGTAAAAGAAAACGCTTCAAAATCCGTTGCTTAGTTTTAAAGATTTAAGCATACATAGGTATCGACAGACAGCGACAGCGACTTTATTTTACTTTACTTTACACTATGTAATGATATTGATTATAAATGATAGTATCGATGGATGTTTGTTACCCTTTCACGCAAAAAGTACTGAACGGATTTTGTTGAAACTTTAGTAATATAGCATCAGAACATGGGCTACAATATCAAGCAGGCAGCCGCGGGCACAGCTAGTACTGCAATAATTTTGATTGTTTTATTATTGTAATTATCGATTCTATATGAATTTTGTCTCCACCGGAGTTCTTATCATAAAGATTAAAAAAAAACTTTTTTTTTAATTTATAATATGTATTACATTGATGGTAAGGCTGAGTTATTACCTACATAGGTTCTTAGATAAATTAAAAAGTTGTTCAATTGTTTATTAAACATAGAAAATTAAAAGAAATTATTAATCCTTACCAATAAAATAATATATAAATGCCAAAGTAACTCTGTTTGCCTGTCTCGCTTTCAGGTCAAAACTACTGAACTTAACTTTTAAATGAAATTTGGTACATAGATAGTGTAGACCCTGAGAAAGGACATAGGCTACTTTTTAATGCAAAAAAAGGGTTGTAAGGGGTTGAAAGTGGGGATGAAAGATTGTATGGAAGAATCGTTATTTTTGAAGCTAGTAGCTTAAAATTTTTTTCTGAGGTTGTTGGTTATATATAAATAAATATGACATTCAAAGTTTGTAAAAATTTTACTCTTAAGGGGGTGAAATAAAATAGGGGATGCAAGTTTTTATGTAAATTCGTCATTTGTGAAACTAGAAGTTTGAGTGTTGATTAAATTTAAATAAAAACGAATTCATTTTAAAAAATTACCCTTAAGGGGTTAATTAAAATAGAGACGCTACATAAAAACTTGTATGATTAAATATAAACTTATTTTTGAATTAAATATAAATAAATATGACATCAAAATTTGGAAAAAAGGGGTTGAAGGATTGTATAGAAGTATCATCAGTATCAAAGTTAGGTCATCATCATCATCTTAGCCCGGAAGAGGTCCACTGCTGGACATATGCCTCCCCCAAAGGTCAATGTTAGAAGCTTGAAACTTATTTTTTATGCTGTTGATAGAATTTTATGGAATTTTGTATCGTCATTTTTGAAGCTAAAACGATCAAACTATTTTTTTTGACTTATAACTCAATAGTTAGGTCATTAAATATTTTTTCATTATTTACGCGGACGAAGTCGCGGGTACAGCTAGTTAGATTATAAATTATTAATTTCTGTAGGTAACAACTACTGTATTATTCTAAATTCCTAACTAATTAGCTATCAATTACTAATTACATTATTATAAAGATTAGTGAAATAACAATTCCTATCTATGGACTCGTATTTGACATATCTAGGTGCTTGTTTGTTTCATTAATTTGTGTTTACCTGCCTTTTTAAGTATCTTTTATTATTGTTCCTATGCACAGATAGTGAATCGAAGATTTTGCATATTTTTAAATGCGTTACCTAGTATTTAAAATAACTGCCAAGATGGCATAAGCATATTAATTCCTAGCGGCTATCTACCTACCTATAATGATCGTGATAAAAACAGATAACCTAGAGTTTATTGCAGGAATGTGGCTACGATAGGAATAAATAAAAAACAATATCGGAGATAATGGCAATCGGCGGTCGTTATCATATGTAGGTAGAACACTGTACCGCTAATCTCGTATACATTTTAACGGCCGATCGAACCTCAATTCGGGGCCTCTGACTCGGCTTTCTAGAGAGCATCTCTCGGCATACATTCCCAAACTCGCGCACCATTATTCTCGCGTACGGAAGTGTTAATTAATCGAGAATCATGCGAATGCGCCGCCCACAACGCGCGGTCAACAGCCACCGCGCCAGGGTCGCCCCATCCAATGCCGACGACCTACGAACCCAGGGACCACAATCGCAGGACCAAGCGCTTGATCGTCCGCCACTCCGGCGAACTGGAGCACGTTCGCATTCCGACCAAATAAACCCAAGCGGATAATAAAATGAACGGTACTCACTTCGCCCATGTTGGAAACTTGAAGAGCAATCCGATATACAAACAGGAAGGAAGTTAACAGTCAAGCACACACGAAGAACTGTTTCACGGTTTGGACATGACGAGACCGACACCTGTCACGGTTGTAGAACTATTGTGGAGCGTGATCGACGACACGTCCGTTTCGGATGGCGATCGCGGGCTAACGTCCTCTGCCGTGTACGCGGTGTTCGGCCGCCGCCGCGTATCAACTCACCTCGCCTAATTGGCGCGAGAGTGAGAGAGCTTATGATAACGTTACCGACAGAAAAGAGAAAGGAGCATAACAACTCACCTGGTGCAGCTTTATCGACGCTGTGCTGCTTTGTCCGTCTGCGGTAAACGCGCGCGTTTGAAACTCGAGTTAAGGAGGATTTCCGCGCCGTTGGCTTTGGGGTCTGCCACCCCTCGTTGGACAGGAAAGCGGGCAGTTCAGGAACATATTGTGAAGCCATATGCTATTACAAATGTTATTACAAGTGTTTTTTATTGAGGGAATACGCGGCCGCCTGCTGGCACGTGAGTGCAATCATTGGAGGCCAGCAATATTAAGATATAATTAGGATTTCTAGAGAAGGCGAGGGTAGCCAACCCTAAGGAAACATCTTTAAAGATACCTTCAAGGCTATGTAGCTAAGTAATTACAACAGACTGCTATGTTAGCTCAAAATCAAAATATCGTCGGTTAAATAGAAAAATATCAGTATTCAAAATGTAAATTGTTTTTACAAGACAAGCAAAGGTTTTTTTTTTAATTTATATAAATTATTAACTTTACACAGAAGTATTATATATCATTTAATTGACTTATATAAAAGGAGCAATTCTGGCTTCTAATTTTGAAAAGTGGCATTTATCTTATTATAATATTACATTTTTGTATTTTACTTTCATTATTGTACTTCAATATTTAATTATTCTATTCAATATGTTAAATATTCAATAGAATCGATATTATTATAAAAACTATTTATACTGAGATAATAATACCTATTAATATATTTAAAATAAAATTCTCAGTAGACTCCTAAAATAGGTGTTTAAAAATGAAAAATCGCTGTATGTATGTAAAATAATCATCGAAATGTTTGCAATTAAATAGACTTTACTTCCCTTTGTCCAGATTTTTGTGTGCTTGCAGTCAATTTTAATAAAATGGTAAATTATTAACTTAATCCAATACATTAAATCCTATATAATATCCATAATTCAATTATAACATATAAATAAAATGTCTATGAATGTCTGTTTGTAATATTGAAATAATCGTTTTTTACTGAATGAATATAAATATAAATGTAATAAACATTTTTTACAATTTCTGTGTTTGTTCCGACAAATCTCTGACTGGGCCAATTTTGACGGGACTTGTTTTGGTAGGTAGCTGATGTAATAAGGAGTAACTTAGGCTACTTTTATTTTAAAAATAAAAATGTTGATTTCCATGCTGGCGAAGTCGCGTGTACAGCTAGTTACATATAAAAATATTGTATTTCAATGTGGCATTAGTGGTTTGTTGATTCCTTGTATTATATTTATGTCATATAGTTATAAATGAAATATTAAATAAAGTCAAAATAACCTTCAAAAGTTTATTAAAATAATGACTAGTACAGTAGTGGTAGTTTAATACTAAACAGTTTTCTCTCTCCAATTAAATATACTATGATTGTATATAATATATTATGTAAAGTAATATTCAAGAATAAATAAAATTTATGCAGTATTCAATTTCAGTGGAACCTTTGCTATGGTATCCATATGGCTAACTTTCAGGTGGCGAGACAGATCACTGGTGCGGAAGAAACCTCTAGAACAATGCTGGCACACATACGGAGTATTGTTCGTGTGCTGCTTCAATAGGTGGAACTCCAGCATCATGACCGTTGGGAAAGTTCTACTACAGTCCCCGATTGAACACTTGTATTTACTGGCATTCTCGTGTTTGAAAGCTTTATGATGTGACAGGCTTCTCTTAGTAGCAAATCCCTGGTTGCACAGCTTGCATACGAACGGCTTCTCTCCAGTGTGCTTACGCATATGAACTTCCAAGTCGGAAAAGTTTTTAAAACATACCGAACACTGCCCAGACTTTTCAGAATGTATTCTACGTATATGCGTCTGAAGATTGCCCTTCATTGAAAACGCCATGCCACAAAAAGTGCAAATGTTCAGTTTCTCATTGGAATGTAGACCCATATGTGTGGTGAGTGCACTTTTGCTTTTCACCGACTTGCTGCACAGGTGACAGGTGTACTTCTTTTCATCCGTATGTACGTTCAAATGTTTAGTCACTAGAGAATTGTCAGAGAATTTCTTGCCACATATTGGACATGAATACGGTTTCTCACCTGTGTGTATTCGTTTATGACGAATCAAGGATGCTATTTGCCTGAACTTTTTCGAGCAGAACATGCAGGAGTACGGCCTCTCATCAGTGTGTACCCTCATGTGTATAATAATATCATTTTTCCTATAAAAACTATTGCCACATGTCTCGCATGTGAATTTTCTTTCTCTATGCAAATGTCTAGTTTCATTATGCCTTTTTAAGGAGCCTTTTGTTTTGAATTTTGCTTTACATACTAGACATGGGTATGGTTTCTCGCCTGTATGTGATCTCATGTGTATTTCCATAGCAGAGTGAGAAATTTTCATCATACCACACACCACACACTGTATAGGACCATTCTTACTGCGTTTATTTCTCTTGCGGCTTATTTTTAATTGCGCTTCATCAGATTCAGGCTCCGGTGTTTCCAGTTTCGTGAAGTCATCCAAATAAATATCACTATCGGCACTGAGATTTAATTCATTATTGATATCCTCATTTTTGATCTCCTCTAGTTTCACCTCGATGACTGAGAGACAGTGTAGCGCTTGGTCGGAGGCCTCACACTTGCGTATGAATCTGAAGCACATATCGAGCTCGTTAGCACAACTATCACACATAGAATCTGGTAAACCATCGCCTTCGATTATGTTTATATTGACAAATTGCATTATTTTGGCACTGTATATAGTGTTTTCACATTTTTCGAATAAAGATATTGTGCCATTTTCCTTTAGACAAACTCTGCATAGTTTCAAATCCATTTCGGAAAGATCTTAATAGTTACAAGTCAGTGATAACTTCGATCAGTATGTATTATGGCGTTAAATGCTTCTTTATATATAATATAATAAAAGATAGTCATAATTCGCTTAATATTGTAATCCTATTATTAGCAGTGAAATGTTTTTATAAGACATTATTTTATAGAACCTATGTTGTCTGTGATAGAACTAAATATTTATAAAATAAAATAGAATTCGGTAATTCAATTTGAGGATTTCTACAGACTTTTAAATATTTTTGTTTCTGTAATATACATATTAGTCTGTAAACTATTTGCCTATAGTATTTTTGTTCTATGGTTCGACTGGTTTATGTCAAAACTACACAAAATAGTATGGCTTAAAATTTAAACTTTATGGTTACGACTTAAGGTTTATTGTTCAACAAATAATTATTGTAAAAGGTAAGAAGAAAAGTCCTGAAAGAGACATTTTATTTAAGCAATATGTCCTCTTCGCACAATGACAATGTATTAATGAAAAGCGCAAAAAGAAAATTGTACAGAACAAGAATTACAAAATTATACTAAAATATCATGTCATTTATAGTGTCTTGCGACTTGTTTTGCAAGTATTTCATTTAGACAATCTTTTAATTGGATAAAATGCTTAGCTGCTAATGCCTATGCTGAGATTACTTACTCACTTAGCAAAAATTTTATTTGGAACAGAATTTCTATTCAAAAGGAAACAACGAGACTAATAGAAAATAAACTATTTAATGGAGTTTTGATATGGGAGTTTCGTTCATGATATGATGAGTGCACCTTCTATTAATTCCGATTGGGTCACACTTATCACTTGGATTTAGACATCAGTTTCAGTTGTCATTGTCATATTTCCAAATTTTCCAATTTCGAATTTGGAGGTTATAAACTATAATCATTCCAATATTCTTACAAAGATAATTATGAAAATACGTAATTAAAACTGTAAATTGAAATTATTCTTGAACTGTTTTAGTAATACTAATATAGGACAAGTAAAGTGAGTGAGTTTTATCAATTTAATTCTGTCAGTATGCCTATCATCTACACCTGAAAGCTAGACTATTGTATAGCCGGATTCTATAGGTAATTTTCTTTTTAGGTTTTTACTGACGAATAGGAGTTAAAGATGTCTTTTCCAAATAAAGAACAAAGAAAAGCTTGTTGGGATTCGAGAGACCGTTATTGGGAATGCCTCGATAATCAAAATATTAAAGATAACTCAGAGCGGCCTAAAGCTTGCATTGAATTTAGGAGAGCTTTCGAGAAATCATGCCCAACACAATGGGTGTTGCATTTCGACAGGAAAAGAGATTTTAATGTTTATAAAGAAAAAATACAGAAAGAGGGCTATGAGCCAATAAAAGATACACAATAATGTTTTGGTCTTAAGTAGTAATGCATTGTAAATATATATGACTTTAGTAAATTAATTTAATCTTTCAATTTGGGTTTTATTTTCCTTTCACATTATTATTACATTAAATAATAAAAGTTGGGTTCAATAGGTAATTAATTTTTATTAATAATTTTGAGTTGATATCAAATGTTCTTGTCAGATTTAAAATTGTGTTTATTTCAGGTGCTGTGCAATTATATAATTATGGACGAATTTATTGTGATTATAAGGAAACTCGACACACCTACAAATGTACTTTCATCAGATATTATACAGGTATTAATTTCTACAAAACATTATTTAAATTGTCATATATTTCATAAATCATTAACAATAAAACTTTTATTTATAGGAAGTTTTAACAATAGCTAGAAAATACTCAAATCAGTCAAAGCCACATGAAGATGTATGGGAGCAGATTACAAAATTATTATGGGCACATTTACATGTCGGTTTAGTTAAATTTGACAACCAACTACTTTGTGGTACATGTTTCTTTGCAGTCCTGGCATTGATGGAAAACCAACATTATTTATATGATATACAAGCTCAGTTAATGAATAGTTTAAATTTGAGATCTAAAAATTGTAACAATACAGCATACACTCTGGTAACTTCTCTTACATATGGAATGTTTCAATCCGCATTTGTAACTTATAAAAGAAATAGTAATGTTGAAATTATAGAAAAAGTTCTTGAAAGTACATTTGAATTATTATTGTCTATGGCATATGAATATTCAAGGTATACATATATAGTTTTCAAAACCATTAACTCATTCAAAAAAGTATTAGGTACAGATTTTGAAAATTGTATCTACAGTGAAGAGAAGGTAGTAAGGTTGCTTAATTTGGTGAACCACAATTGGGAGAATCCTGTAACAGGTGTGAGGGACTTGAACAAAGGAATTTTTCAAACACTAATATGTGTTCTTAACAATGATATGTATGGGGTTATAGTCCAGGAGATTAGTGGCTTCTATTGGAACAAAGCTAAATATTTGATGCTATCAGAAATAATAGCAAAGTATAAAGGCGATATTGTAGCAGACATTGTTAGTAATAACTGGAGAGATGGACTCCTCAACAGCTTGTACAAACCTGGCTTAGTATCTGCTGGTGCTGATATGTACTTTGCTGTATTATATCAACTAAGAGCAGAGGATAAATGGTGTAAAGTATTCCTGTATGATATAATAAAAATATTAACAAGTTCAACTGCCAAAGCAATTGATAACTTCAGTAATTACTGGTGCCTGGCCACATTGAAGAAATTTCCAGCTCTAATTACAGTTATAATTAACGAGTTGGAACAATACCAGGATGTAGAACAAAAATTGTATGGTACATTACATTTATTGAAACAAGGCAATAAGTTAGGTCTTGTAACAAAACATTGGAATACAGATGACTTCAAAACAACAGAATATCTAGTGTTACGCGGCATTGAACACTGTGATCCTTATGTTAGAATGTTGGCATTTGAATTTGTTTGCATATCACACAGTAAATCATTACCAACACAATTTGAATATGATTTAATTTTAAACTATGTATATAACAATATAAATTCAGATAGCACTGTGTTAAGAGTAAGTATGCTGGGCAGTTTGACTTCATTCTTCACATGGTTACATTCCATATTTATAAATAGTATTAACATTAATTGTGAAAACAATGATATGCAACATTTGTTCAATTTCTTCCGAAATATTCAGCAGTTTGTTATCAAATCCTTGAATGTGAATGGTAATTATCAAAGAAAATTCACAACTATAAAATTATGTCAAATAGTATTGAGCTCCTTGAATGAACTACCGAGAAAGAAACGAAAGCAAGCAAAGCCGTTTAAGAGAACAGCGAAACAAGTATTGAAAGATGAAGGACAATGGTTACTACATGGAACCGACTTTATCCTGAAATTATTGAATCTATTAAAGGATCCAGCTGATGATGTTAGAGAAAATGTACTACAATTATTATTGGACCATTATACTGAGGAAATCAAAGCACCTTTGCTATGGAACAACTTGGTGGACGATGCTCAGGCAGCTATGAGGAGTAAATTTTTCTACCAAATCAGTTGCAGTCAAAGTATGTTTAAACTAATAACTTGTACACTTCTAAAAGAGCATACCTTTGACACTAATTTCAGAAGTGTGGAAGACATTTTCTTTTTCGCATACAATGAACTTATAAGTGAATATAACTTGAAGACTAATATTATAAATTCAATAGAAAATGGTAAACAGCTGCATTCTCTCATAAGCGTCCTACATGTAACTATGGAAGTTTCCAGAAATAGATCTCATGTATTTGCCATTTCACAAAACAATATGAGCCAACTTATAGACACCATAGAAGGAATTTCCAATCAGTTTGCATGGGAACAACAAACATTGACGAGTTCAGACTTTTCAAAGATGAGTGATATGGTGCAAGATATGATTGCCTCATCGGGTTACGATCCACACGATGCAAAGGATCTCACTAAGATATCTGGGCTACAACAAATTGTGCTGAATTGCCTCTGGCTAAATGTGAAGGTAAAATATTTGAGTTATATACAACAATAGCTGTTCCCGCGACTTTGTCCGCGTGGATTTTATCTTTATTTTTCCAAAATTTAATAGTAGTCTAAAGAACTAAAAACTATTTTGTTCTTTGTCTTAATTTATTCGTTCCATTAGGGACTGATAGGTTCAAACTAATATATTTACATCCTGCCTCATCCCTTATTTTAACCCCATGGGGGTTGAATTTATTGAAATCCTATTTAAGCGACTGTCTACATCATAATAGCTCCAATCTTTATTTTCAGTTCAATCAGTCGAAAATCTAAGAAGATTGATACAAACTTTCATCCCCTATTTTATCCCCTTAGGGAAGGAATTTATCAAAATCCTTTCTTAGGGGATGCCTACGTCATAGTAGCTTTATGCATGCAAAATCTCAGCCCGATCAATTTAAAATTGACAAGTTTCATGCAAACTTTCATCCCCTATTTTATCACCTTGGGGGTTTGAATTAATAAAAACATTTATATTAAAATTTCAAATTAGGAACGTCAGGCACAGTACATCGATGTTATTTTATATACAACTAGCTTTTACTCGCGTCTTCGCTCGCGTTAATTTATCCCCTTAGGGGTGGAATTTATCAAAATCCTTTCTTAGCGGATGCCTACGTCATAACATCTACCTGCATGCTCAATGATCAACCGTAGGCACTTTAGTTGAAATAAATCTAGGGGTTAATGTGTACAATAATTTGAGGTAGACATTTAAAAAATAATATACGTAATTAACAATAAAAAAGGTGGATACCCTATGTGAGAAATAAGATTTTTTTCAATATGGTATTCAACGTGTTAGATAATTATTATATGGGTATAGACTTCCATACTTTTGATGATTTTTGTTTTTTTTTCTGTATTCCAGGCATCCTGCGACTTAGCATCGCTATTGATACGGTTTAATGTGGAGGACATGGGGACATGTGAGAAATGTCTTAAGATAATCATACACGCTTTAGAAACATCTCGCCATAAGGGGGCTATTGAGGCGGCCGGCAGCGCTCTAGGTATACATTTTATATTTTTTTTAATTAGTTTAGTTTAAAGATTTTCTATTTATAATTGTTATAGGAAATTGCTTGTTTCAGATATGTTACATCTTGATATGCTGATTGGTATAGTTAATAGAATGAATTGGCTTTTTTATACATATTCTGAAATTGTGTCTAATTACAATTTTAATAATTTATTAAAAAATAATACATATCCGCATAATTTCATATCCGCATCCGTAACCGTACGGATGCGGATATGAAATTATTTCAGATTATCCGATAGTTTCGGTTACGGATATTAATTTTTTAAGGAATTTCATAACGTGTCCCAATTTGGCTCCGCCACTATCCGATGTTATCCGTAACTTTTATTTCGAATTCGGTTACGGTTACGGATATTTTTTCATATCGGATATCCGATAGTTTCGGTTACGGTTACGGCCCTCCCTGACATCCCTGCTATGTATATATATATCTTCTTCAGTCGTTCACTCTTGGCAGAGTGGTCGTGGCTTTCATGATAGTATATTTTGTGGAATGGTATCGTTGTGGTCCTTGGCGGAAGAGCTTCTTACAATTTGCCTCCACCTGGTACGGTTTTTGGCTGCAGGAGAACATTGTACAATGGACTGATGTGTAGCCGTTCTTATGTCAGTCCATCTCGTTGGTGATCCACCCCGAGAACTTCTGCCCTCAATCGAACCTTGGATAATTAGCCGCTCTTTGGATAATATGTATATATGTATACGTGTAAACATGTATGTGTTTCTATATTATTTATATATAAGTATATATGTTTGTTAATTATGGTTGACACTAAGTTTTTCTTACTTTCTTCATCGCCATACATGTCTGTCATTTAAGTAATCGTTTAGTGACTAATAGGCTATGCTTCAGTGATTTTTTATGTCAAAAAATCAAGACGAAGTGTGGTAAAACCAGTAATTATATATTTCAGGTAGAGCAATACAACATTTGACATCTTTACCTGAAGAAACCGAAGCTAGTCGTCTGCCCTTCTCATTGCTGAAATGCAAACTTGAGGAGTTAATATCAGACGCTGGCATGAAGTCTTCAGTTACCAGGCGGGGTGCTGGCCTCTCCATAATGGTACATAGAATTGTCTCCAGTGACATGAAAAAGGGAAAGGTAATTTTTTTAATTGAATAGAAAATCCTTTATTCAAGTCAACTTAATTTAAGCAATTTTCAAATTGAAATTTAAATTAAAAAATCATTTATTCATGTAGGACATTTTAGCCGCTTATTAACGTCAAATTTTAACATTATTATTTTAATTTTTTCCCTACCGTCCAGTTCGGTATATAGATCCAATTGAGAAGAACTGACAAGAAACTCAATACTTAAAAAGTAATTCACCTTTTTTTATAAGCTAACTAGCTTTTAAAAAAAGTAATTCAATTGATATTTACAATGAATATAGGTGTCTATGTCTACCTTTAAATAAAATCCCGTGCATGAACAACTATTGCCATGCACGCTCGTCATTTAAGTAATCGTTTAGTGAGTAATAGGCTTTGCTTTGCTTTTTGAATAGTCATCACAAAATTTTCTCTCCTCTTCCTCCTCCGAAACGGCTTGACCGATTCTCATGAAATTTTGTGAGCGTATTGAGTAGGTCTGAGAATCGGCCAACATCTATTTTTCATCCCCCTAAATGTTAGGGGTAGTCCACCCCTAAATTTTTTTTTTATTTTGTAGGCAAAACAATGTTTGCCGGGACAGCTAGTATATATATAGGTTTATATTTTTTCATCAAGCTCTGATTATATGGCACTAGACGGCGCTTTGAGTTTTTTCAGTCATAGATTCTAGTGGAAGTGAATATCGCCAATTAATAACTTAAATGTATAATTTTGTATAGTTTTATTGTTATTTCGTGTTATTAATTGACAATAAATTACATTCTTCTTTTCAAGTGAGTTTATTACCCACTTTAGCCACAATTCCTGTACCGCGACGGTATCAGTTGGCCTGACTATTTATTACTAAAATATTATTATTTGGTTTTAGCCATTATTCCATTACTTTATGGAAACTCTTCTAGAAGTTTGTAACAAAATCGACGATGTACCAAGTACAATGAACGAAGAGGCGGACATAGACAATCAGAGAGACCTACCAAAAGCAATATATGTTCACTTTTTAACGAAAATTGTCATAGACAGCAGCTTGGCGTCTGATATGATGCATTATTCCGCAAAGTTGGCAGAACTGGCATTCAATAATTTAACTAGTGCACATTGGCAGATAAGGTAATATTGTAATTCTAATTTTAAAGTAACTTTTTTATATTGGTTGATAGTGTAGTGGCGTCTGCTAATGTTTTTTTAATGGATGATAATGTAATGGTGCTCCAGCCTATGTTAACAGTTTCTGCTGGCGGGATATCAGTGGAGGATGATAAGATAAGCATAAGGTGAAGTCAGTTAAACCCTTGTGGCAAATTCACGATGAATTTGTTAAGATGGTTTCCATAGGAAGGCGCGTGGAAGTCAACCTGACATGGTACATTGATAGCAATGGGGTTGTAAATCAACATTATAAAAGTGATCAAGAATCCCTTTAAACTAGAAAATGGTTTTGGATGGCTTTAAAATAAAAAATAGAATGGCAACACAAATCGCCGCAGATAAAAAAAGAACCCCTTTCACTCCTATTACACCCCCTCCCCCAATTGGATGATAATGCTATGGTACACGCCTCAGCTAACGATATAGCTATTCTGGCGGGCCACCAATGGAGGATGGTGAGATTATCATGAGGTCGGGTCAGTTAGCTCATTCTGACAATTTTATCAAATATGAACCACTATAGTTTCTAGGGAGTGCCGAGTGGAGGTCCACCTGGCAGGATACTACTTTCTCTATTAGTAACAATCAATTTCCCCCCTAAAGTTGGCAATTAACCACAATGGTTTCTATAATGACCAAGATCTTAATAGCATGAAATAGGGATTATCATGAGTCGCAAACACATTTCCCCAAATTAAAATTGATATTTTTAACGTTGTCGCAATATATTTTACAGGAATGCAGCCCTTCAGTTGTACGGTGCACTAATACCAAAGCTAATAGGACAGAAGAAAGCGTCAGGATCAGAAGACGAGACGGTATCCACAGTTGCTTGCGACGAATTCCGCACGCATTCGCCCAACTTATGGGAGCACATTGTACAAAGCTTGCAACACTGCGAGAAGCACGATACAGTGTTGACACATTCCAACCTCGTTCCCATATTGAATGTACTCGCCAATATTGCGAGGAGATATAACTTTTCTTTCGACACAGTATCGAGGGAAGAATCTGATGGATCTCTGTTAAAAAACCTCATATCTTTATTGGGAAGTCCACTTTATATCGTTAGACGGCTAAGCGCTAAATGCATATATAATATATATCAGTTTGAAAGTATTTATAAAGTTATTATGAATCAAGAATACACATCTGAAAATGTTCTTCATGGAACTCTCATATTAATAACGTTTTATAAAACAGTCGGTAGCATGCAACTACCTAATAACTTTGAGAATTTAAAAAGTAAATTCATTATTACTATTGATTCCAAAAGACATTCATATTTGTGTCGATTGTTACATGAAGAATTGTTTATTGGCGGTCCACTACAGTTAAAAGACATTATAGAAACGTTAAAGGAAGTAGTAAATAATTCAGATAAACACGGAGCCTCGTTATGGGCAAATAAACGCGTCGAGAAATATATAATCATGTCGCAGTGGTCTGAAGTAGTCGAGATATTAAATAATATTCTAGAACAAACAGATTGTGAATATTATTTTAAAACGATATTGCATAAAATAAAAACGGATCGTAACGTACCGAAAGATATTCTTCAAGAAATTGCAAATGTTTTATTAGGTTATAGAAAGAAATTTAATTCCTGTACAATTTGGGAGATTCTTTTTGAAATATCTTTGGAAATTGATTCGTTTGCGTTGAAAGAGGTAAAAGTAATAATAGAATATATACAAAACTATGGAGTGTCGTATAAATTGAGGTATATATTACGGTTTATAGCAAGAATATCTATAAATATAGAAGAAAATAATTTGTTGCAATTATCAAAAATTATTAATTCATTAAGCGACCCAGAAACAACAGATGTGGATATGAGATATATAGCAACACTGGCTAACAATGAATTGGCAAATTATTTTAATAAACTGTCCGATGAAGTAAGAATTAATTGTATCAAATCTGCTGTGACACTTTTGCAAGATGAGGATGAAGTTATTCGGTGTACATGTTCATTGTTCTACAGAAATGTAAAAATGGACAGTGTTATATTACAGCCGTATATAGTTTTGCATAAAATTCTGGACTATACATTTATGGAGTCAGTTTTTCAGAATCCTGAAAGTAATATTCAAGATTTATCCCGAGATGTCTTGACCGTAGTATCTGACACGAAATGTCGACTTACTGATGAATACAATCCCTTTAGTAATGACTCGAAAAATATCTACATGGAAGTGGATATCTTACAGGACTTAATAGACAAATTAAAAAGGTAGAAATCATAAATTAAAGTACTGTGTTTGAGAGAATTTTGACTTTTAATGAAAATCACATTAAATATATTTATTTATTCATTTATAATGGCACAAGTAGATAATAATTAGTAATAATTACACACGAACTTTTTATAGTCTATGACTTAAATTTATGGCCAAAGATATTGTCCTGGAGATGTTGAATCTTATTTATTTTATACCTTAAATCATTCAAATTCTAATATTGTTTGAAAAACATTAAATCAAAAGGTTTTGACGATTCCTTTTTTCATGGCAATGGTTTGTGTAGAATATTTTTAATTTGTTCAGTAGTAATTATATATAAGTTTGTTATTATCTTATGTCTAAAATCTTGCATTCTAATTACTTGCATATTAATTTCACCGGCATGATATTCATAGCCTGTTTTATTCTGAGGTATAAGCTATATTAGTCATCTTAATCTGTTCAGTACTTTGAAGTGTAACAAACTTCAATCCATATTCTAAACTTTCGCGTTTAGAATGTTAGTAAGATGTAACCTGTTCAGTTAGGAACTAGATGGCGTTGTCTTGTTTATAATTAAGAAGAATTGAGTAAAATTAAATTTTAAAGTAATAATATTTATTTATTAGGTACTCTATGACTTTTGCTGTCATTTGAGACAGAGACCAGAGAGTCATTATGAATTTATTTTTTTGTGTCACATGTTTTTTGGAATGTAACTCCTGGAACTTTCTGTGTGGATGTGAGAGTAGTAAACGATGACACAACGGAAGCTAAATGAAACGATTCGTAAACAAACATTCAGTATTATTTAATTTCCATTATTATAATTTAAACCTAATATAATAGTGACTATGACTGTATTTACAATGTCAGTGTATGCGGGTATCATTCCTCATAATAAAATTTCTTTGGTGGTGTGGTGTCATCTATTTGTATGGACACTATATGTCGTCCTGGCACCATCACCAGTCCCAACACTCGTGGCTCCTCAGTTTCACCGCCGCTATTTTTCAGATATTCTGAACAGGCACCTGAAAAGTGTTACACAATAAGTATTTTGGGGGAAAGGGGATTGTTAGTAATGTGGACTAATGACCATATTACTAGTAATGTACCATGTCAGGTTGACGTCCATGCGGTTCCCCTGGAAACCATCATTATAAATTCCTGGTGAATTTATCGATGTGCTAACAGACCTGACCTCATGTACATCTTATCATCCTCCACCATCATCAATAAAATAAAATATGTAATTTCAACTGAATAAATAGGTTATACTCAATATGCATTGATTTTTATTATTTCATTACATTTTAGTCCTTAATTATCATCCCATTAGAGAACTAAATTGTATTCTATCGCCATTGAACTTGAATATTTAATTATTTGATAGCCTAGGTGGACTGGTAGTTTATTTCATATGGTCACAGGTTTGATTCCTACCATCGTTTTAACATTTCTATTCATGAGTATGACTGTATCAGTCTGCATGCTTTCTATTTATTTTATATTAGTATATGCACTACAGTTTTTTATTATGTACGCTACATAATAAATAAACTTTGAAAAATCAAATTAAAATTTGTTTATTTATGTAAGTCTATTACAGAGTCTTATAGTACATCAAATCTACTATTCTACACCATAATTAAAAAAATATTGACATATCTACCTAAAATAACATTGGCGTCTCTGTCTGTGCATAGGAACACTCCAATAAGTACCCGGCCGTCTGTCATCTCAATCCTGAAGTTCATGTTTAGCCACTTCCTCAACTTGGATTTCCCATCTGTAATATCTACATCCTGAAAGAGCAATAATGAACTGTTGAAATAAATAATATATAGAATCATAGGATTATATTAAACAATGATATAATATGCAAAAGAAAACTAAAGTAAGGAAAAAAGATGGGTGATGACTTAAAAAAGTAATGCAGGAAAAGACTGGGTGCAAAATGTCATGGATAGAGGGAATTGACAGATAATGGAGGAGGCTTTTACCTGAGGAGCCACATAAAAAAAAAACAAAATTATAATATGTATATGTTAGAAAAAAAAGAGGGGTGATGACATAAAAAAATAATGCAGGAAAAGACTGGATGCAAAATGTCACGGATAGAGAGGCGAGGAGCCACATAAAAAAAAACAATAATATAATATGTACTTATATGTTAGAAAAATATATCTATGTGGTAGTTTGAAGCTATAATAATAAAAAAAATAATGATATAATTTTTCAGTAGATTGTACAGAGATTTCGCTGGTATTTTCTCACTACAATCTTCTAAAACATCCAATGAAAGATAAAAAGATGATAATAAGAATGAAATAAACTAAATATTTTGATGGGTGAATAAATTACTTTAACTGAATATACATAACCCATAGTACAATCTTTTTTATTTATAGCCCCCTGTGCTATAAAAAAAAAGATTGCACCTCTCCTGATTGTAAGGGATTACCACCACCCATGAGCACCCGCAACACCAGGGGAATTGCAAGTGTGTTGCCAACAATCTAATCCCAACTCAATTAAGGGTTTTAGACCATTAACAATGGGGTTACTAGTATCCATTCGCATCATTAATAAACCCCTCCTACCCCAAGGAAATAATGAAATGAGTATATACATCAACTCTGTAGGAATTAATAACGACAAATTCTCAATATATATAATTTTTACTACAATTATTCTGGCTGGAAATTGTTCGATCTTACATCGTGCAATTATAGTAATATAAGAATTTAACATTAATGTAATGTTATTATTTTCTTTTTTTAATTAAAATTTATTTATTTTAACTATTAGTTATCGGGGTAAAATATTTTATTTCGATCATTAGAATTGGTATATGGGCATAATTTAAATGTTAAATTTTATAGAATAACATGAATCGTAAGCTCGGCAATACATTTTCATATCTCATGATTTTATTTCAGAATATAAGTTACCTTTGTCAGATCGGGCTGCGACTGTTCAAATGCAGTATCACCCATTTTGTTGTGAAGTTATAATTTAAAGTCTACTAGAATATACTTAAATGTTTAAATTTCCATTTTAGATATTTTAATTTTATAAAATAATAAAAAGTTTTGGTGTTTATACACTTTTGGAATCTGTTAAATTACTCTGTGCTGTGAAGTATGGAGAGAGTCTGTATATTTTTTTTTATTTTATTTATCCGTTTACGAAAGGCAAGAGTCTAAACCCATACAGCCGTCTATGGGCAATTCTGACATGATTGATTGATAGATATTAGAAGATTGACATTAGAATGATCTACAATCCAAATTATTCTCAACATATTTGTATTATAGTTATTCAAAAAATTAATCTTATTTATTTTTACAATATTGTTTATTCTATACCATTAATGAAATAAACATATTTCGATTTAGTCCACTATGAACGAATTAATATATACAGATAAAGCCGAAGACCAATTTATGAAAACATTTAAATATTACAAATCCAATAGTTCACCACCATCTCTTGATGAAATAATAAATATTGATGTTAACAATAGGACTGACAAGGTAAGATCATAACGTACTTTTATATGTTTTTTTATGGAATGGTTCACCCGACCAAGTCTACTACAAAGGACTCAGGTGGAGGATTATAAGATAAACATGAGGTCAGGTAAATTTGCCCATCGGTACCAATTTACCAGGAATTTATCACGATGGTTTACAGTTGGAACCGTGTGGAGATCAACCTGGTATGATACATTGCTAGCAATGGGCATTCCTAACAATCCTTTCCCCCCAACTTTTATATGGTAGAGATCTATGTGGCAAAAATACATTTATGCTTTGCGTTTTTGCATATGGGCTATGTTACTCACACCATTTTCTTTTTTGTACCTGTATTGTATTTTAGTTTATCTGTATTTTATTTTGTTGAACTGACCAATGTAATCCTGTATTTATTTTTAGTTTTTTTTTGTTAATATTTCAGTGCCTTCTGTGTGTGTACCTTTAATATAATAAAAATTTTATCTGTCTATTTGAACACTAGTGCCTGTGCATATTGACAACCTCGGTGGTCTAGCACATCGCTTTACGTCCGATGCTTGTGGGTTCGATTCCTCGCAAGGCACAAACATTTGTATTCATGAGTATGATTGTTTGTATCAGTCTGGGTGTTTTCTATGTATAATATGTATGTATTTACGAAAAAAAATGATCTATGTACTTGTATCATTCATCTAGTACACGTAACACAATCTTTAGATAGTTTAACTTGGGATTAGATAGCGCTGTGTGAATTGTCTGAGATTAATATATATTTTTTTTAAACTTAAAAAAATTATCTTCTTCCCTCTTAATATTATTATTATTATTATTATATGCATAATATACTTTAGTAACTTTCCATTATCTTTAATTTCAGGTTCTATTATTGTCACCAAATAATTTAAAAATCGAAGACACAAGAACAAAACAGCTAGGACTAATAGAACCCAAACATTGGTGCTTATATTCATTCAGGGACCATCCAGGTTTATTTTTAATAAGGAATCCATTTACAAGTCATGGCCAGAGATACTGGATAGAGAAATGTTTAAAAATATATCCTAGAAAACCTAATAAAAGGAATATAGATATAGAAACATCTGTAGATGATTGGTGGGAGGCATGCCATCTTCATGGACAATGTGATAAGAAGCTACTTAAGAAGCTGAGGTGGAGCACACTGGGTTACCATCACAACTGGGACACGAAAGTAAAATGTTAATATTTTCTTCTTTATTATTTTATGTAATTACAATGGGAAACAAGCTATAAGGTCACGTGATGGTAGGCAGAAATCGTCACCTATATATATGTATCAACATCACCTATATATATGTTCATAGATCTTTTCATATGTATCAACATTGCCATGCCATTATCCCATTATTTGTGGTCTATGTGTGTATGTCATCTTCACTGATTCCTATCAGTGTCATATCCGAGCTTACTCTCCTTTTATACAATTATAATACAACTATAATAAAATTACTTGTATTAATGAAAATTTTATATGTAAAATTCTCGTGTCACAGATTTCGTTCCCATACTTCTCTGAAACGGCTTGACCGATTCTCATGAAATTTTGTGAGCATATTGAGTAGGTCTGAGAATCGACCAACATCTATTTTTCATCCTCCTAAATGTTAGGGGTAGTCCACCCCAAAATTTTTTATTTTATTTTAAGGCAAAACAGTGTTTGCCGGGACAGCTAGTAATTCTATAATTATGTCTTCTAATAGTCAGATGTCCTATGTTTTGCTTTTTATTCCATATATTTTATTTTCTAATGACACGAGTAAGATTTATAAAATGTCAATAACTGTAAAATTATGTCTTTGCTATATAGTCAGATTCTCCATTTTGCAATGATATTTGATAATTACTAAAAGGTGCTAAAGCACTCACAATTGAATAGGAATATGCGAGCTGGCATCATGCACAGTCTTGCTCGTTCTCTCTCTCGTGTTACATTTACATGCACACTCATTCCTACATAAAAGAGCATATGTGTATAATCAGCTAATAATATGATTAGCTATGACGTGGTCTGATGTTTTGAGTAGTCATGCTCACTAAAATGTCCAGACTTGTGGCGGCGTGGTGGGCCGGGTCATTGGGCTCCCTAAAATATGGTCGAGCGCAGTGATGACTGGCTCATCCGTCATACTCGTGAATGAGTGCTTCTTGTAGGGACTGGTCTGCTCTAATCACTATGACTGATTTCCTCTTATTAATTGTTTAACCAGTTGTTGTGTATTCAATATTTTTTCTATTTGATTATTTAATTGAATTAGTGCTAATCAGTAGTTTGTATTCACACACTTAAACTTGAATTGTTGTTAAAAAAAGAGCAACACACAAGTTTCTTGCTTGTTCTTATGAGGAGAAAGCTTTCCGAATGAGCGGTAGATTGAAAAAATGTGATGACTATTCAAAAGTGCTTCAATGTGTAATTATTTGAATAAATGATTTTCTATTTCTATTTCTATTTCTAATACATTAAGAACTAAAGTCTCCTTGTCATTTTTTTTTTGTTTTATCATACACATATGTATGGCTAAACTACTGAATCTAGTGACCACATTATCCTGTAACATTATCTTTGTGTGTTGTATCGAATATATACGGACTGTGTTCTGATGAATTGACATGATGCCTACGGCTACCTTTTACCATCGCACCGCTCGCCATCGACAGGGAATTCATCCCCACACGCTAGAACCTAAGTGGTCTCGGACAGTGCGGTTTCAGATGAGCTTCCTCCCGCGTACACTTAGATTGTGAAATGAACTTCCTGCCGAGGTTATCTCGAGAGACTACAGCACGTGGTTTTTCAAGAAGGGTATATTAAGGTTTCTTAAGAGTCGGCAACGCGCATGTGACACTGGTGTTTCAGGCGTCCATAGGCTACGGTAACCGTTTACCATCAGATGGGCCGTATGCTGTATGCCACCTACGTGGTATAAAAAAAAAACTCGTTTTAGACATAAGCTTGTCGTTGTATATTTACCTTATTACTATTATTTTTAGATAAAGAATAACGTCTGTGGACTGCTACTGTTCCAGGTGTATACAGAAGACAACAAGAGCCAGTTCCCTGAAGAGTTGTCAGTGCTGTGTGACATCGTGGCCGGGTACCTTGGCTATGTAAATTTCAAAGCAGAGGCAGCCATTGTCAACTACTATCACATGAACTCCACACTGTCTGCTCACACTGACCACTCCGAGGTCAATTTAGAGGCGCCACTGTTTTCTTTTAGGTATGCCAATATCGATGAATTTTATTTTCTAAACATTTAGTTGTAACTTTCAAAGTGTGAAGGGTAAACGCTACTGCACATCCTATGAGGTTGTAGCCCACTCAGGCATAAACGAAATATCTCCTTTGGAAAGTTTACTGTCTTTCCTGAGGAGATAAAAACCATCGCTCCTAAGAATATCCTTCAGTTCTATATATTTTGTTATATAGAATTGAAGGAAATTCTTAGGAGCTTCTTATTTTATATTTTGTTACCTTATTTCCACTCACGTGCCGCCTACTTTGTTTTTATTTATACTCTCTTTCCTAAGATTGTAAGAGATTGCGTTAGCGATAAGACCGCCTTGGTACTTTCTTCTTTCTTTAATTTATTGTTAGAAATAGAAATAATCTTTATTCAAATAAACTCATTACAAGCACTTTTGAATAGTCATATTTTGATTCTACCACTCATTCGGAATGCAGATTCATCACAAGAAGAATGAGCAAGAAACTTGTGTGTTGCTCTTTTTAATAGATGTTTTTTTTATATAAATAATTACAGTATAACAAGTAAGAGGCATGCGATAATCAACATAGAAGTCGCTACGCACTCATTATTAATGTAATCGGATAATATTGTCAGTGCTATAGATTTAAAGTTTTTCTATAAAAACATTATTATCGTTAAAGAATTCTTCAATTTTATAGTAAGCTTTTTTCCAAAGGAACTGTTTTATTTGACATTTATATATTATTTTCTTTTTATGTATCTATTTTTAATATTAGTGCAATAAAGAATTATAAATAAATAAACATTCTTGTCCCTTACGGGTCTAGGTAGCAAACTCTGAAAAACAGCGAGCATAATATATCTATACAGGTCGCAGTGTTATAGATCCAAGCACCTGACAATAGCCCAAACAACACAATAAAAAAAAAAGAAAAATTAAGTGCTACAGGTCCAAGCACCTGACAATAGCCCAAACAACCCAATAAAAAAAAAAAGTGAAAAATTAAGAATATTAAAAATAACTATGTGGTTACACGATCGTTTGCGATCGGCGTTTAGTATGGAAAGTTTTTAAATGCATTCTCTGATTTTTATTTTGTTTCTTGGTGAAAGAACTGATTATCATGAGAACTTTGCTTAGCTTTTAACTTAAGACTTACCTTTGTTACCTTACCTACTTATCCTTTCTTTAATTCAGAGAGTAAAATAAAATAGGTGACGATGTAATAATAGTATCCACTTTTGACGCCAGATGGCGTTAATAAACATTTTAAAATGCGCTATTAAAATGTTTTGTAATTTGAAATGCTCAAGTGGATATTTGTATCTTTATAGTGTTCTGTTCTGTTCAGATCAGTTCTTCTGTAGTGTTCTATCTATTCAGTTCTAGAAAGAAAATACCAACCAACTAAAAGTGCCAATATTGTCTCATTTAGTGAACTAATTTTTGTACAGCCATAAATAGAATGGAATAGAAAATCATTTATTCAAATAAACTTAATTTAAGCACTTTTGAATAGTCATAACAATTGTTTTTATCTACCACTCATGATCTCTTTTGAACACATAGTTGTTCCCTTTTACCACTGTAGTAATTCAGATTAATAATAATAAATTAAAAAAACAATAATTTAAAATATCTTTATTCATGTAGGTCTATTATAGACTCTTATGATATGTCAAATCTACCGTCAGCTCGGAATGATTTTGATATGAGAATTGACAAGAAACTCAGCTCGTATTCTTTTCAAATAAATGTTGTACGTGTTTATTATAATACAGATTGTATTTAAAAATTAAATTAAAATTAAAATTACTTAATAATTTCAGTTTCGGACAGTCAGCAATATTTCTGATCGGGGGCACAGACAAAACTACCGTGCCATCGGCCATTTTGCTCAACAGTGGAGACATCCTGGTCATGTCTGAAGCTGCAAGACTCTGCTATCACGCTGTACCTAAGATACTACCATCTGTCTCATCACCTTGGAATGATGATGATGGAATAAATGACGATTGGCACTCGTTCGAGGAATATATAAAGGAATCAAGAATCAATATGAATGTACGACAAGTATTGAATGAAACACAGTGCAGTTTATAATATTTATATTGTTATTATTTCTTGTTATAAATATAAATTTTACAATACTTTTCTTACTGTTTTTTATTTGTAATTAATTTAGTACAACGATATCTTTATAAACGGCAGGGTTCTTGAACGGTTCCCGTTTTGGTTGTTCTGTTACTACTGAAATTTTAAAAAAGAGTTTTTTAATAAATGATTACAGCATCATTATAATACACTTGTAATAAAGTAATTTAACCAACTTTTTTATACTGATGGTTAATATTGCAGAATCATTACATAGTATAGAACAAAGTCGCTGTCGCTGTCTGTCCGTCCCTATGTATGCTTAAATCTTTGAAACTACGCAGTGATTTTGAAGCGGTCTTTTTAATAGAGTGATTCAAGAGGAAGGTTTATATGTATAATACATGTACACCCAGGCGAACCCGGGGCGAGTAGCTCGTTAAATATATAATCAAACCAGGATAAATGATAAAACTATTGAATTTGAAACGATTGAATATGTTCTTGGATAGAGAGACAGGGAGTTCTGCTCCATCCCAAGAGAATGGGTGTATGGATGATTTTAAAACTCAAAAGGTGTCGCTGCTCATTCTGGCAGGATGTCGTCTACAGTATCAGCTAGTAACAAATAATCCTAATCCTTTACTAATATAAATGACAAAGTAACTCTGTCTATCTGTTACGCTTTGACGCTAAGAATACTGAACTTGAAAATCTAAATGAAATTTGGTACACGTATAGAGTAAAAAAAGGGTTGAAGGAGAATATGAAATATTGTATTGATGTAGAGTAATTTTTAACGCTAGAAGATTCAAAATTAAATTTTAGGCTGTTGATTACATAGGAAAAAACAAAAAAATTAAGGGGGCAAAATAAAATAGGGGATGAAATTTTGTATGAAAACTCGTCATTTTTAAAGAAAAAGTATATCGTTCTAGATATACTTATTTTCTTTGGCTTTTGTGGGTTAGATTATTAAATATTATTTCTTTAATTGGTCAAATTGCGCGGGAACATCGTAGGCTATAAATTTCAAGCGAGTAAACCGCAGGCTCAGGTCGTGAATAATATCCTAACCTTTACTATCAGATTTATAAGCCAAGTCATCAACACTCCTATGCTGGTCACAAAGACTCCAGAAGCATTTAACATAATTGTCTGCGTAGCACTGAAACTGTCCCTGCGGCTCGAACAGTGCAAGCCGTCGAGGAGATGGCTTGTAACAACCCTCGCACCATGTCCGTCGTTTCAACACCATTATTTAATTTATATAACAAATATAATAGAAAATAAACTTGTATTTTTTGTATAATTTACATAATTAATGCAATAGTGCAACGCAAGAATTTCAAGATGGATATTAACTTTTTAAACATTATTTGCAGTTCAGTATGCAGGTTGTATGTACTTATAAATGAAATGGAAACAAGCTTAATATCCAAAGCCGTAAAACTAATTAATAAAAAAAAAAAAGTAGTCATACCACATTTTTTTATTTTACCCATCATTCGAAAGACTGATCACAACAAGAATGAGAAAGAAACTGCTATGTTGTATAATGTTGTCTTATCTGTGGTTGTATTTTTTTTAATGATGATAATGGAATAGTGCACTCGCCTGCGCTAACGGTTTACACTGGCGGGGCACCAGTGGAGGATGATAAGATGAGCATGAGGTCAGATCAGTTAGCCCATCGTGACAAATTCACGAGGAATTTAACACGATGGTTTGCAGGTGGAAGCGCGTGGAGGTCAAACTGACATGGTGCATATGTAGCATATGGTAGCAATGAGGTTATTAATTCAGATTTCTAACAATCAGCACCCCCCTCTGTGGTTGTATTAAAAAAAATACACTTAGTGCTTGAAGTAAAGAAGTGTCTAAAATTTTTCGGTGACATTTTTCTCATTTTATACGTAAGATAGATTCTAAATTCAAAATATCTTTATTCATGTAGGTCTATTACAGACTCTTATGATATGTCAAATCTAGCGTCAATTCGGAATGATTTCGAGATGAGAAGAACTGACATAAAACTCAGCTCGTATTCTTTTCAAATAAATGTTATACAATAATACATATTTATTTAAATTCATATTTGGGTGTTTTCTATGTATAATATGTATGTATTTACAAAAAAAAAATCTATGTATTTGTATCAGTTATCTAGTACCCATAACACAAGCTTTAGCTAGCTTAACTTGGGTCTAGATGGCGCTGTGTGAATTGTTCTGTGACTATTATTATTATTATTAGTCCTTAGTAATATTAAGTTTCTCTTCCAAAAGATGGCTAGATGTTTTAAATCCCCACATACATAGATATAATACCTGGGTATATTACGAAAATCCAACGAATCATTCACACGGGGAGCGGGGCTGGAGGTCTGAATGTAGAGAGCTATTGTATCGAGCAGCCATTCATTGCGAGCGGCAGTTAGCTGCTCCACACGATATCAAATCCAGCCTTTCAATTCGTCCCTACAGCTCACGACAAAGCACTCATGCATTTCGTCAATGGAATACCATTTGATTGGAAACGATTATTCGTCAAGACGCAACTACGGACTTCACTTATACTACAGAAATATTTTTTATTCAAATAAACTCAATACTATTTTGTATTAGCGCAGATTATTTAGAATTAGGAAAACCACCGAAATAACTGAAAGACAATTGCACTTGTTAACTCGTATATTGAGAAGGTCGTGTGATGTGCATGTACCCACTAGGGTTCATGATTTCTCGAGCTTTTCAATTTCTCGGGTCTCGAGAATTCTCGAGGTCAATTTCTCGGGTCTTCTCGGGTTGTCGAGAAATTTACATTTACGTACGTTTGGTTTATTTTTTGTTCCAATAACGTCAAAAAACTCAGTGGTTTCATTTGAGACGAAAACCACTGCATTTTTTGTTAAATATTAAATATAAAATTTAACTATGAAATTAATTATAAAACTTTTATTGAGTAGGTATATTTAAAAACATTATACATATTATGAATAAGCCATTTTTTTTAAATACTGAAATATATTAGGTTCTTACATATAAAATTAGCGTTTTGTCGTACTGGCCACTTTGATCACCCACTTTGATATTTCAAATTTATACGGCTATTCACTCATGCATTTGTTTTTCGAAAACCATAATACATATGCTTGGTTTTTTCTTTGGGTCACTCAGCTTACAAAATGGAAAAGAATAGAATAGAATAGAATAGAAAATCATTTATTCAAATAAACTTACATTGAAGCACTTTTGAATAGTCATTACATTTTCTTTTTAATCTACCGCTCGTTCGGAAAGCTGTCTCATCACAAGAAGAACGAGCAAGAAACTTGCGTGTTGCTCTTTTAAATAATTTTATTATTACTTGACATTTTTAAGTTTAAGTGTGTGAATACAAACCACCAATTTGCACTAATTCAATTAAATACTCAAATAGAAAAAATATTGAATATATAACTGGTTAGACAATTAATAAGAGGAAATCAGTCATAGTGATTAGAGCAGACCTGTCCCTATAAGCAGCACCCGTTCACGAGTATGACGGGTGAGTCAGCCAACACTACACTCGACCATATTTCAATGACCCGTCCCACGACGCCGCCATAAGTTTGGACATTTTAGTGAGCATGACTACTCAAAACACTAGACCACGTCAAAGCTACTTACAATTGCCATCTGATAGTTATAGTATTCACATTTTACATAAGAATGCATGGAGCAATCAATACAAAAACCGCTACGCTTTCATATTTCTAAAATCAATCAATTAAATCAAGAAAGCAATGAGAAAATTAAATTATAACGTTGTATGCTAATAAACTAATTATTTACTTGATATGTTGTCATCTATGAATTCGTCTATAAGATTTGAATTGCCTCTCTGTCAGATTTAATGCAGATTCTGGCAGTTTATTATAAAATCTTATGCAATTACCACAGAATGAATTACTGATTTTGTGCATATTTAGGTAAAATAAGCTTATTTATATTGCGTAAGTTTCTACTTGTACAGTCTTTGAGTTTTTTAAAACTCTAAATATATAATATTGAGTTTTTCAAAACTTAAAATATCGCGTTATTTACAAGTACAAGTACGAGTTCCGCCATGGCACTAGTGCTGCAGAAACGGCTCGAAGGATTAATGATGTGTATGGTGGAGGTGTCGCAAAAGAAAACACAATGCATTTTTGGTTGCAACGTTTTCGTTCTGGAAATTTCGACCTGCAAAACAATCCCCGTGGGCGGCTGGAATCCAAGGTTGGTAATGAAGAATTGAAGGCTATTATGATAGCAGATCCATCGCAAACCACGTCCGAGTTAGCTGCAGGTTGCGGTGTTAGTGACAAAATTGTATTAATCCATTTGTAGCAAATTGGGAGGGTGAAAAAGCTTAAAAGGTGGGTCCCTCATGAATTGAGTAGACAATTCGCGTTTCGATCGACAAACGCGCGTAGACTGCTGCGTTACATCAGTCAACCCGCATAATAATAAAGGGATTTTAATCGAATCATTACCTGTAATGATGTGGATCTTGTATGATAATTGGAAACGCTCATCGCAATGGCTGAACCCTGGCAAACCAATCAAATCCTGCCCCAAGCGAAAATTGACCCAAAAAAAGTTACTTGCGAGCATTTAGTGGACTAGTTCCGGTGTTGTTCACTTCAGCTTTCTTAAATCTGGCCAGATGATTACGGCAGATGTGTGTTGTCAGCAATTGAGAAACCATAATGGAAAAGCTAGCTGCTAAACAACTGCTGCTTCAGGACAACGCTAGACCACACACTGCACAACTGACATTTACCAAATTAGAAGAGATTCAATTGTAATGTCTAAGACTTTACAATTGCTCCCCGGATCTTGATCCAACAGATTACCATTTTTTTCGAAATTTAGATAACTGATTGGGAAAAATTCAAATCCGATGGGGCAGTCCAAAGTCCAAAGATTTTATTGATATGTCAAAATGTTCCCGTTCAAATGTTTTTTTCAGTAAAGGGATCAACGAAGTACCTATGAGATGGCAAAAATGCATAAATAG